GCTGTGCGTGAACTATTTTCACAAGTGTTTGAAATTGAAATCATGTTAACCTCAATACATGCGGCCGATACAAAAAACAAAATGGTCTTTGTCGAAAATTGCAAAAGAAGAGAGAGAGAAAAAAAAATGACTTGTGGTTCCGCATCAATATTTGCAATTTAGAGCACGGTTACACTTTCTAGTCCATTCAATTAGGGGGGGGGGCTGTCATCGATAACAACAGATGATAAATTATTTGTCCCTGAGACACAATTTTTGAGTGGCAATTTTCTGTTTCTTGGCAAACTCAAACGATCCACTTAAATTCCACCTTGAATGAATGGGTATACATTTGATGTTTTGCATTATCCGTGCACACCTTAGATTTCTATACCAAAAGCGATATATATCAGTTCGTTCTTCGTTCGATGCATTGAAACCGGAAACTTATTGAAATCAAACTGTTTTTGACGTCCGAAGTGTGCGCTCTCGATGGGATCAAACGATAATCTGCCAACGTTTCCGTCGTTAAATTTGAGCTGCCACTCTAAGGAATTCCATCATTTGAAGATGTGTATCAGACCTTCTGCAGCTTATTATCAAAATATATCAACAACAAAAAATTATGCATTGTTTAGCAGAGAACTAGGTGACGCGGTTGCTGACCGACACACCGATTGCAGCGGACGTAAAAAAGAATACATTTTGTTTTGTTCCGCCCTTTTCGTGGAATCAGCTTATAGAATTAATCTGTTTATTGCCCCATTAAATCGTCTTGATTTCAATTTCGCCAAAAAGTCGATTGCCATTTTCGAGTTCGTTATCCCATTGCCAAATAAAGCCAAAAATTGGTTCGTCGCCAAAGGTATTTTATCAAGTATCTTTGTCCGACCGAGTTCAACGGTATTTGGTTTAATTCGAATACTAGGCTTGAAAAGTGTTACATAAAACTAATAGGCAGATTTATCAGAGCAATACGGAATTCAAGCGACGTACAAATGAACCATTGATACGATATCTCTATCTAACATTCTGAAGGGTTGACGCACTATTTGACCAATGCAACTTATCGGTTGGCCTCAAAATCATGATGAAAAAGCCATGAGAATGGCTGAACCAAGCCCATATATGACGGAAGTGTTGCCATCATTCTCCAAGGTCAATGCGACTGGAGAACAAAACTCGGTGTACGTGACAAGCAGACAATCATTGACCCATTGGCTCAATGACAATAAGAGCTGATAATTAGTTGGATGTGAGAAAAGCGAGCGAGAAAATTTCATTTTATAGCCATTCACACCAGAATCAAGAAGACTGGCACACCAATTAGACATTAGGCGGCTTCATCAAATATTGACCTTCGGGTTTCTATTGATATTAAATTTGTTTGTGAACAAAATGATTTCGGTGGCTAAAAGTTTTTTACCATCTATGTGGACTAAGTTGAAGTGATAACTTCCTCACGGGCATTGATTAAAAAAGTTTTGCATGGAAGGCGCACAGCCATCATCCGGAGGCTCATCTGGATGATAACTGCACACGTTCTTTTCAATTTATACAAAAAAGATTGGCTACTCTTCCGCCGATTGCGTTTCGTGCCGTTCAGTTATGAAATATTTCATACTGAAGGATCAAAGCGCCGAGCATTAGACGATGGTCACACATTACGAGCCTAACCCATTGCCAACCGCATTTAATTAGGTTTTATAGAAGCGACGAGCCAATTCTCCAAAGAATATTTTATACATTGACCGAATTGCTGACATCAGGCAATGCTCTTGAAGGAGAAAGAGAATGAGAGATAGAGTAAAAAAAGAAATTCACCACCTAATCTTTGTTATATAATAATTGAACGAAAGGACGAATTCCCTTCTGATTTGGTCAATCTTCACCAACCAAAGCACGAATGAACGAAGTTCAACGACTCTTCAATAAATCAAATAAAATGGAAAAGGAGATTGACAAACCATTCGTATCCGCCTTTCAATCCAGAATTACGATTAGAATAAAGTCATTCTCCGCACAATTCATCCGATTGTGTGGTTGATATATTTTCTGTGATAACAAACTGTCACAGTGATCATCAATATCTGTTTTGAAATACTAGTAAACTGATTGTCACTGTTATGTGTAGTTGCAATCTACGTCGCATTCATGCGACAGCAATTGTGTTGACCAAACCGATATTGTGATATGGTGCACGTGAAGCAAAAAACGGCACAAGAGCTTTTCTGTAAAATGCATTGAAAACGTTTCGCTGGAAATGTGCTCCGAAAATGCGGGGTGTAAACAACGTCATTAGTGATAAAATAACACGTTGATATATCTGTACGAATGAGTGCTCATAATACAAGCACATGCAAATACGTATCCGCCTATCATTACACGTGCTACGCCACTTCAAAATGCGTTCGGAATTTTGCTCTCTTCCTCTCTCTCTGTCTCTGAAAATGTCCTTCTTTTCTGCACTCAACATGCGAATTATTCGGTTTGTATGAAAAATATTAAGCACTATTTGCATCGCAGTGAAAGAGAGAAACAAGCGATCTCAATTGAATGTTTGGTATTCATAAATGATTCACGTGGCACAGCGTGCGATGAATTATGTCTAATTTTGAGCTATTCGCTTTCAATGGATTGAGTCGCCAAAATGGGAATAAATTACCATTGAATGAAGAGAATTTCTTTCTCATTCTCTTTTTTTACAATGCTAACTGCATACACGTTTCCATATAGTTCTTTTTTTCTCCTCTGACGGTTCTATTTTACACGGCTGTTTATCACTGCTGAAGTGTGTTTCCTTTGCCCACGAATATATGATATATTTCGTCTCGATTACTGATATATCCGTATAGTTCATATCCGATACAGATTATAATCGTAATCGTTAATATCGAAAAATAATGAAAGAAATATACGATTTTTATCGTACAGTCGTAGAATTATTAATATTGGAACATTTTCAGATGAATGACCTCTCTCTCTCTCGGCCACGAGTACAATTGCTCCAGCGATCAGATCGATGAATAAACGATTCTCTTTTTTTCACAGAGCATTTTGAATTTAAACAGAAAAAACAATTTTAAGAGGCATACACTTCGACATGATGAAACCAGCTGCTAAGAACGCGTGAGCGAAACGGAATTTTTCGAATTAAAGCAAGAGCACATTATTTACACCTTACGGTTTGTGTGTATGTGTGTGTGTGTGTTTGTGTGTTTGTGTGTTTGTGATCAGAACCGGATGTTTAACCAAAAGCCCAACCAAAAACATGTGTTCATTGTTTTCGAGAATTGGCAAAAAATTCGAACCGAAATCACGTTTTGAAATACAAACTGTGAACAATTCAATGAAACTAATTGTTGGTTGCCAGGTGAGCCAGTCAACGGAATGTTTTTATTTGAACAAGCTTTATTTTGTGCAAGGACAAAATCCATATCATGAACCAAAATGAAAAAAAAAATGCAATCCATATCACGTACCATGGCTTTTCACGCTTCGTATGTAATCACAAATCCATCAGCTTTAATGCATTTCCATTAGATCGAATGCAAATGAAATTCGATTGATGAATAAAACAAAGGAATAGTATTGTTACGTCTGAAGGAAAACGCTCACCTCTTTCTGCGGACACTAATTCAGGACCAAGTATCGAATGTCAATGAAGTGCACCCATTTACCATGAATAAGTTATTAATATAACATACATGTGCGTATATTCATCACATACAACCATTAAAATCAATCTAGCATGAGCCAAATCACCATAATCAAATGAATGGCTCATTTTGTCGTACACTTATGACATACGCGTACATAAGTTTGACAACAACAAGCATCGAACATTACGACAGAATGTTTTGAGAAATATTATACAATATTCACATTTGCTGTTGTTATCTTTCTCGACGCACAGTCGAGGAAAATGTGCATAATCTTGAGCGCTACATTGTAATTCAAGCATGCTTCAAAAGGCGGATCTGTTGCCTGGAAATGTCTCGATTACTCAATTCAGACTCAGTAAATCTGTTTTTGACTTTTTTTAAAGCACGTTGTGTTTTCCTTTTCAAAATGGTTATATGATTTGTGTTTATCCTAAGTCGTAGCAGACAGAAACAAGATATTGTCATGAGAATTCCGCAATTGACAATTGAAGCTAGAAATTATAAAGGATGGCATGATTGGTGAAAAGAGTAAATAACACGTGGAATCTATTGAGCTCTACTACACGTTGTTGAGATCCCGAAACAATATGCTTTTGTCTATTGTTGGATATGCTGTGCATATTATGCACCTACCATGTGCCTGGCCATTACAATTGGCATTTACTATTTTGATTGAGAAATTCTAGAGGGGAGAAAGAATGATGATGAAGGCGAAAAATTCGAGGCGCACTCAAAATATATTCTCTCGGAAATAAACTGAGATGGCCATTTTTTTGCAATAACATAACACCTGTAGCGTTTGCATACTCCTTATCGGAGTAAAATTTGCCTTTTTTCCATGGAAAATCCTGCAAAAAGCAACAGTTACACAATTTCGAAGAAGTCACATTAATTACATAATCCTTTGGCACGATGGGATTTGGAAGAAAAAGGAACGATCATTTCCTCTTTTCCTGTTATCCTGTTCCTGTTACTCGGCAATTAAATGAAACTAGATACCTGTTTGGCGTTTACATCACATTTTTTTTGCCTACTGGTATCAAGAAGCTCGTCTTTTTTCCTGGTATTTCTTGGCAAAGTCATACGAGATGCTGTTATGCATTGCAAAGCACACAAAAACTCTTCATTTGCCGTGTGCACGTAACATATAAACGAATTATAACATTGAACGAGAGCGTACAAATGAAATGCTACACAGCAAAATATAGAACGGTATGCGTTCATGCGCATGATCGTCGTTTTTCCATTCGCTTTTCACGGTTTTCCGCTCGCTGTACTCGCTCGTTTGTTCGTATATTCAACAGTTGGCCAGCAAAGCCGCTTGAATCTATAAATATGAGGCAACATTGCGAACTCAACTCAGTCGTTAGTTAGAGCTCGTATTGAATTTATCTCTACTAGAAAACGAAATAAACAAAATATTTTTAAAAAATTTCGAATTTGTTTTCTACAGTTTGTATAAGGTACGAGATTCACATCCGTTTCACGGCAAATTGTTTTGAACGAGTGAATAGAAGTAGCTAGCCAATTTATCAATCTAAATCAATAGAATTTATCAGTTCAGTGACAAGTTTGGAATTATTTTATTGCATTTTTAATGGTTAAAATGATGAGTAAATTAATGATTTGTTGAAAATGTAAGAGCCATACAAAAAGGACAAATAAGTTAAAAGTTCGAATCAGTGCAATTGAATTGACATTTAAAGTAAAAAAAAATACAACGAACAGTTGAAAAAATTAATCAAACGGACAATTTGCTACATACGAAAAAAAAAGAGGAGTGTAAAGGTTTGCACACAAATCAGCTGGGACTGCACAGTATCACCGGCAATTTTATTCAACCGTCTATCGTTCAACTGAACTACATTTCATTTTAATGGTGACAAGTGGCCGCTTGAGACTTAAGGTATGTTTAATAATCAGTAGATGCATGTGATTTTTTCTTTAACTCGTATTTCGATGGAAGAATACATCGAATTTTACTTTGTTATTATTTTCGTCCAAATAGTTCAAAGACTTGTAAATTGCCAAACAAAAAAACAAACGCGTCGCATTCACAAAGTGGCCTCATGACATGAACTGATTTACTTCTTTGATTTATGTGTGTTCATAATGTTTTGAGTAAAAACCAAATCTGCATCGGATGTGAAAGGTGAAACATACGCACATAAATTCGTCCTACGTTTCATAAATCCAGTTTGCCATTTGCATGCATTAGCGTGGGCCTTTTCATCCTCAAAATGTTTTTTTTTCCATTTCATTCGACGTTTTTTTTTTCTCGGAAAACAACCAAACAACAAAAATTTACGGTTTAAACTCTCTGCTCGCTTGAAAATTGTCTTTTGCAAATTTTCATTCGGCATTTTACCGCCAGCGGTTGTTGTTGTTGGTGGTGCACCGAAAAATTCCCATTATTTCAAAATTTAATGTTATACCACGCCAATGTGTGTATTCACTCGGAAATGGATAAGTATAGTAAGCCAATTTTACGGTATGAATGAGTTCTCATTCACTTCATCTAAATCACTCTCGTTGAATGTTCGACTTGGCCCTGGAACCAATTTTGCAAATATGAATGGAAAATTCCACCAAAACCAACTACATTAAAATTCGGTAAACACATTTTCCCACTTGTTTTTATGAATTAATTATTATTTATATTTTGAATTGAAATGGAGTATTATAAGTCAGCGTGTTACACGTTTTAATGAAATTCATCTAGGACTCAGTTTTGCTGACGTGGTTACATGTGTACGCAATCAAAATATATAAATTAAAAAAAAAACCTATAATAATAATAATAATAACAACCAAAGGAAATATCTATTCGCAGCATTCGGCAAACAAACAAAATACAACAACAAAAATGTTTATGTGTATTTCGACGTTGTTTAGTTTTGGTTGAATGAAAAGAAACGCGATTTGTTGAAAGAAGCGCCAAATTAGAGGATTCTATGCGACTGGAAATATCGGCAATGAAATCATGCATTCGCGATCAGTTTTGTTTTGCATGCGCATGCTGTACGTATAAATTTTGCCGAATATTTTGGGTCAAATTTAAACGATCGTTTTTGTGCACTTCCAAACGCATAAAATGTTTAGTGTTTGCAAATTTCATCCCGCAAAAACCCTAAAAATCAAATGACCCAACACACAATAATATCAATGTGTCAACATTTTTATTTTTTATGATATTTTCGTTCTGTCGCAGTTCGATATCGAATGCCCGACACTTACGACAAATCTACGTCACGGCATCGGCGTCGCTCGATCGTTTCGCACATCATACAGCTTTTGCGTATTGCTGCCAAATTCTCATTCTCGTCAATACGTTCAAAGTTCGTTTCGCTTTTTGTTCACACACCAAAATTATCGCTCAAATATAATTTAAGCTAACATAAATCTCGGCAAAATCAAAATATCAACGCAATTTTTTATACACAACGAAAAATCTAAACAAAATAACGGAATGTTGGCTTAATGTCGGTTGGCAACTGAGTGGAAAAGCAAACACGGTCGATTTTGCTTGGAGATTAATTGTTCATCATGAAAAACGCTCATAAAAAGAGCCACGATCAAAATATGTTTTTTCTTTACAGAAGAATTTTACAACATGTTCGAATCATACTGAAGTGTACTTCTTAAGTTTTTTTTTATGAATTAAAAAGGAAATGACAAGTCACTTGAAGCTCTTTTTATTGACGTTCATCGTAATTTACTTGTTGGAGGTTTTTTTCTGTTTCGAATGCTCAATCAGGAATGCGCTTGCTTGAATCTCATCAAAGATGCAATAAAAAAAAGTTTACTTATTTTCGTCAAGTGGAAATGTTGTATCAGGTTAGCAACGAACGCAGCCTTTTATGAGCGGAAGAATTTTTTCAGACGGATTTTTTTTCTCGAATGTTATACGATTTTGCGTGATATTGATGAATATTAAACGATCATGCACGCTAATTTGATAACAAAATACCCCATTTGAATGTTAAATGGAAAAAGGCAGACGTGAAAAGCGAAAATGTGACAACTTCGATATTTTAATGGAATGAAAAAGAATGAATAACACAGGAGAGAAAGAAAAAAGCTTCGAAATGACAAAGGAACGACTAATGCAAAAGCCCTATACCAAGAATAGCCCAAATTAATTTACCCCGTTCAAGCGGAGACAAACTTTTATCAATACAGTAGAGAATCAACACTATTCCATGTGTTGAGCAAAACTACCGAGACAATAATTTGCGATGATTAAGGAATGTCGCCAAGCAAAATCGCAACACTTTTATTTCGTTTTTTACACAAAAACAAGAAAAAATCTATGAATTTATCCAACGAAATTATCATATCATTGTGACACCATGTCCATTTTCTATAGTCTTATTGATTTAGGATCCGACACAGCGAAATGAGAGAAAAATAGCAAAGGCCACAGCCACGGAATGGGGAAGTACTAAATGATATCACTCAATAAACGACTCAAGTATAAGCACTTCATGGAAACGGTATACCGAAACGAGAATCACTTAAATACTGTTTACATAAACAATCATAAATATGTGATAAAATTTTGGGTATCAACGAACAGTGGAATTGGCGATGATCGCGTAGCAACAAACATCAATTCATTTTCTTTGTGTGCTTCGTTCCGTGGACAATTATTTATACACTGGTTGATGGACGTTGGATGTAGGAACGTAAAGAAAATCAATCAAATATTTACCACGCAACAAATGATACAGTCGTTGGCATTAATTGACAGTTGAAATGGACAACAGCACGTATTGAATATGAATGGTTTGGAGCAAAAATGTAATACAGAAAAGTTGAGCGGAAAAATGTCGATGATGAATGAGCGGAAAAGGGATAGCTTTATAGTAAACTGTATAGTAAACATAGTGAACTATATAGCTTTCTCTTTTCATTTGACATTTTTCCTCTCAACTTTTCTGTATAACATTTTCGCTCCAAGCCACCCATATAAAACGATATTATTTGACGAATGAATATTTTTTATGCATTTTCAGCATATATAAATAGTCTCATCATTATTATTATGAAGCAAAACAGCGCAGATAAAGGCATGGAAACCATACGTGATGTACGGAGGCATAATGTATATGTTTGGCATCTGTTTTTCGCACATCGTTTAAACCGTATTAGCTTATTATATCGTGTTATTACGCATGTTGTTCCATGGGTTGTAATTGCTCTTTATAAGTATACAACAGAGGAAAAACATCAAACCAACTGACGAGCTTATGAATAGGAAAATTTTCATTTTCCCGAAAAATGCTGGAATTTTTATTTTCATACGTACTTAATCTGCAGAATTGTAATAAACACTTTGCCACAGATTGCCGTTGGTGACCGTATCGTAATGACGTTATACTTTCCGTTTGATGTAAGCTCATTTTTTTCGCTCAGACTTGGGATGCGGTTCAAACGATAAAAAAAAGTTTGCTCCGCCATGAACACAAACACATGACTGATAAAAATTTACCCTTGCCGGTTGGTTGTTGTCAACTTGGCACTCAATCACCGAAAAAAAAATTATCGGGGAAATAAAATAAATGGGGCTTTGCTTTTTATCTCTATTCCGTAACTATGGCCGTGCAATCGATGTCGTAGGCTTTTGAATCAATTCTCTTTTTATTGGCACCATTTAAATGGAAACAATTTTTACGGCATAAATCGAGATCAATAGAGACAACCTATTCATGGACTGTGTGTGGCACGTGCATCTTATCATGTTTTTTGATTGGAGCTTCTGCGAAAAGTGTCACTTCAAAAGCCACATCAAATTATCATAGACAAAGGTGTTGCGATCCATTTGATTCCATTTATACCAAACACATGCTACTAGTCAACGCATAAATCACGTCTAATGATATTGAATCTGCTGTTAATATGTGTCGTGTATTTCCTACTAAATTCCTTTCGTCGAATGGAATTTACTGTGATGGAAACACAGAGACCGAAGGCAACGCAATCACAGCAGGGACACGTTCTTCGAATCAATCGTTTCGCTTCGTTTAAGATTACCATAGATGCTACTCCAATCTCTGAATACTATCGGTATTCTATCAAAAACTACTATACCTGATGTATTCATGATCCATCGAAAATCCTATTATAATACGCATGTAGTTTGATTGAAGCAAAAGTGATCTGCCACACGTTTTTCCGACTCATATTTCGCAACATTTGTATAGTTAATCCAACTGTCATTGCTCTTCGCAGAAGAATCTTGTGCTACGTCACCATTTGGTTGAAAGGATTGGGCACTGTTTCCAAGCGGAACGTCATGAATTTGGCTTAATAGACATAACTTGTAACCAAGAGTATTTATACATGTACGGTTTGGTGTGGGCACGTGTGAGATGCAACACATTGTGCGTCTGCTGTGTTCTAAGAAGATTCTTACTTTTTACCCCCGGCTTGATTCAATAAATCTGACAAACGCTTCATTTTTCGGTCGTTTTCGCCTCATCTGATCCATATCAGGTATTGTGCTCTTACAGTTTTATGGCTTGCCAATATTTTCAAACACAACAAAGACACAGCAAACAAAAAATAAAACCTGAATTGGATATAAAAATATACAACAATTTAACGAATCATTTTGTTGGATTGACTTATGAAATGGATGGAAAAAAAGGTGCTGCTTGCGGTCGAAAACAGCTATATTATGTTATTATCTAATGTTTTCTTTATGTTTTGACGATGCGATACTTTTTTTAGAACTCAAATGATCAGAACTTTCATAGAAAAACCTACAATTTCCGCGATGTATGTCGAACGTACACCTCATGGCAACGGCTATTCATCAATTTAAATTTTCAGAACATCAGTTTACTAGTAAATCCACAATTTATGCAATCTCATCATTCTTTGACTTCCCCATCCAACGAT